GTGACGCACAAGTGCCGTAAGGGTAGTGCATAAAGAACACCCCCTCTGCGGCCGAAAATAGCAACTAAAACTCTGCTCGTCGGGTCATGATTTACACTACTGCATTTGATACGGTCCAAAAATTTTGATTGGTCATTTACTTTTTTTATACAGATTTTTATAACTTGTTTTTTGTGTATTGTCTTTGCATTCCAAATAAACCTGATTAATAAGAAATTATAATAAATTACATTCAAATATGAACATTGACAATTTTATGCATTTTCGTATAAACTTGCTATTATGCATTGTCATACATATGCGATGCAGTGCATATTCTATTTTGGCATCCTAAATAAACTGATAAATTTGGAAAGTTGTAATGAAAGTTGGAAATACTATATGCAAAATACTCAAATACAGACATTGACAATAGAATTTGGAAATATTAAATGCAGACATTGACAATAGAATTTTGAAAATACAATATGCAAAATATTCAAATACAGACATTGACAATAGAATTTAGAAGTTACAATAAAATTTGTCGTTATCAAACAAAAATTGAAGGAATCAGCATTGCAGACATGCTTACGTGCACGACCGATGCTTTTGAAGGTGGATTAAAAACCCCGATTTAAATAAAAGTTAGATTTGCTTAGCTGAAAAAAAAAAAATTGTTGACAAGTTCCCATGAGTGGCGACGATAACATCAATTTTACCTCTAGTTCAGAGGAGGAGACTCATGTTATCCAATATGAAAGGGATACGGTAGAAGATCTAAAAGTCTCGGATTTATTTCATTCTCAACATAAAAAAATTTCACAGGTCAACCGCGAAAGATGGGCATATTTTTCATACATATATCGCGCCTTCAGCTATATAGGCATTGCAATTTATCTAGACTGGACCATATTCATTAGACATCCGGTCAATTTTTTTGTGATAACTCTTCATTTTATCTTTTCTATCATTGGTTTACTTCTAGTCGGCACATGTCTTTTGATAACGGAAACGTATATAAAATATTTTCATTACTCTACGCGAAAAAGAATTTATGGATATTGGGGCAATGACAAAGAGCATAAAGAGTATTGGAAGAACTTTAATGAATATGGAAACTTTAAACGTTGTAAGAACCATTTCTTTGTTGAAAGTCGACAAGATAGCGACCCTTGTGACCCTTGTGGCTCTTGCAAGAAACGTCGAGATGGTGAAAGTCAAAAACATTGTGACCCTTGCAAAAAAATATCCGATAATTGCAAACAATATTACGGTAGGTATATAAAATTGTACTCTTCGTTATATATGAAAATTATTTATACAAAAAAAAAAAAAAATCCATTAAAAATCTTTGCCACAAGCTATATGATAATTTCTATTAACTTCTAATCAAAGAAAACTAAAATTGTGGAATGTGTATTGCTCATATATTTTTTACTTAGTATACTTCAAAAATTTAAAACACGGAATGAAGCTATTGGGAAAAGGAAAGTGGCATGGATTGTTTACAAAAAGGCTTCGTATTTACATCGATTTTCCTTTCCTTATTTATCTTTATTTTATTAGACAGAAAAACAGGTACACTAGGATTTTAATCATTTTATATTTCATTGCAATGGTTATATGTCTAATGTATTCTTGTTATTTATTTAGAGCAAGAAAAAAGTACGTTTAATTTTTATCTCATTGCCGGACAATTACAATTGTGAATTATTTATATGTTTTTTTCTTCATTTAGAACACCTCGAAGATTTAAAGGAGGGCTTGCGCTTAGCGTGTAGTGAGTAGGATAATAAACGAACCTTTTGTTATATACTGCATAAACTTTATTTATCGCGTATCTCTTTATTAGGATTCTTTGATAGTTTAGAAGAGGTGATGGGATATTTCTTCTCAAGTAAATTAAATTCGTTTATCATTTATTACCGCTACTTGATTCTATTGTCCGGCATATACAGTACTTATTTGCATATTTTCATTAGATAACCAAAGCGATAATGAAGGTAGAGTTTTATTTATTATTCTAATGTTTGTTGTTTTCTTTTAAAAAAAAAAAAGACTATACATGATAATTGGTCAATATACCGTAATTTGGTTATCAACAGAAGGTATGTGTGATTAATTTTCATCGTTATTTTTCTAACAATATACACGATAATTAGCTTATACCGTGTACTTTAACTATAATATTGTTAGCGATGAAATGTAAGTATTACGATGAAACCCATTGTTACGTATGTTTGTTGTAGTTACTTATGAGTCACCTTTACTCAATTATAAAAAAGGTATGGTATTATACTGCTTATTATTATGTTTATTTCCTTATTTTATTTACCGTTATTATTAATAAATATGCTTATAATTTTATTTAATTTAGATTTAGGAAAATTTGAAGAGAGACATCAAGAGTTATATGGTGAGTATTATAATTTGCTCACGATACTCTTCATATACTGTGTGTATTATCTTATGTGTTATTGCATTTATTCAGGACATCTAAAAGATTTCAAAAATAATACGAAAGAATTGAAAAAAAGCAAGTACAGTGTTCAGAATCCAATTATATAAAATTCCACTATATATTAAAATATGAAATACGTATTAAATATTTATCAGAGATAGAAGAAGGTATGATTGTTCCTATTCATATGTTTGTGTCTGTTATATAAGAGTTGCTTAGTGTATTTTTTTCCGAAAAGGTAAATACATAATAATAAATCCGTTTTATAAACCTTTGTCATTTATATATACTATTGCTACTTTTTATTTAGATCATTTTGCGAATTTACAAAGAGAAGTAAACTTGTTATCCAGTAAGCATAATGAAAATTCATCTTTTATTTAGAGAAAATGAGCATATACAGTATTTAAATTACCTTTGATAAATCCATATTATGTTTTTTAAATATTGTTTATTATTAAGCATTTGTTGTATCTGTCATTATTTAGGCGAGGAAAGATATACCTATTTAAACAACCGAATATCTAAAATGCAACAATATGGTGAGTACATACTATATATGAACAAGATTTTTATAAAAGTACAGTACAATTTATATTCCTCGTTTATCTTGTTTTATTAGATGAATCGAAAGGTGAGTGGCTTACCTGTAACATTAATCATAATATGCATATAGTGCTTTCCGAAAATTTTGTAATATGATGATACATATTTATTTATATATTTTATTAATTATATATTTAGAAAGAATTCAATCCCAATACAAATTTTTAAAGAATAGTATGTATAACGATATATTTGCTTGAACTTATACTATTTAATAGCATATTTACCAACAATTCTATATTAAATATGCATTTACTAATTTGTATTTTTATGAAAAGGTAATTAAATTTTATTATTATTATTATTATCATTATTATATGCTCTAACATATACCATATTTTATTAGAATGTCGTGAAATTTTGAAAGAAGAAATTAATTTTTTGAATAGTTGAGTCGAACTAATAATTTTTATGAATAATTCTTAACCAAATAATATTTACATATTTATATTATTTTAGGATGTCACAAAAATATAAAAAAAGGCATCGAGTTATGGGGTATTATACCATATATCTATTTATACCATATCTAACCAAATGTACATTTACTTACGTATGTGTCTTCGACTAGATCGTTCCGTTTTACCCCACAAGAATGGTATTGCAATTATTTTATATAAATCAATTATCACTACGTCTATTTTATCTTGTATTATTTTTAGGATGGCTTGATACTTTAGAAAATGGAATTATAGAATTAGCATGTGAGTATAAGTATTAATTCTATCCCTTATTACATAATGTTTTGATTTTTGATTTTGTTATTTCTAGGTTGTTACAAAATTTTGGATCACTATTTAAAAGATTGTGAATATAATAAATTTATTTTTGTAAAACATTTGACATACTATTTACTTGTAAATTTATTAATTACTTGCAAATAATGTACTCCTTTATCAGTGGAAGATAAAGGTATAATTACTTATTATTTGATTATTATTTGTTGCGAATATGTGATCATTCATGAAATTGTATTTATTAGATAATAAAGAAGGTATTTGGCTATCTATTATTCGTTACCTGTATGGGATATTTCTTTGATTATATAGTTTATCTTCATTAGAGGAAAGCAAAAGTAATATATTAAACTTTTATAATTTTATGCAAGTTATTTATTATCTCTTGTTTACGTGTTTTATTCATTTGTTAGAATATCTCGAGAAACTGAAAACAAAAAATGATGGTACGACAAGTTTGTTACATATGTCCATTTGTTAGATAGATTGTTCGCAAATCTCTATCACATATTTTATATGTTACCTAATCGTTATTATTATCATTTCAGATTGTTTCGAAAGCTTGTTGCGAAAATTGTCTCAAGGTGAAATTAATAAAGCTTTCTATATTAAACTTTCGATGTTGTATTAATTATTTGTGAATTTAACTTTCTCATTCGTGTATGATTTTATATTTTATTTTAATTAGAGCAAAATAAAGGTATGTATAATGCAACTATTTATTACATTGATGACATTTCTGACTGTTGTCTTATTTAGAGCTAAAAACAAAAATCAAAGGTGAGATACAAAACTTGATAAAATAAATTTTATTCATATCAAGCATTTTATAACATATAATATATTTGATTATTTATTTCTAGATCGTCGCAAAAAACTCAAAGGTACGTTAAATATCTTAAAACGAAAACCTGTCAATTTATTTACTTAATTGTTATCTTCATTTTTAGATCTTATCAAAGAGATAGAAGATAATGACGGTAAGATGAATTGCATTTATTAAATAATCTCATTATATTAAGACAGTATTACTGTACACAGTGCTTATTTACGTGGTCATGTATCGTTTTTTAGGTCATCAAAAGATCTGGTGGCAAAATACATATAATATAGAAAAACTTGAAGGGCTAAGGGATATAATTGATGGTATACTAAATTAAATCATACAAACCCTTTATTTGATAAATTAATACACGCCAAGAACTCTATTGTAGATACCATGTATTTACTTAATCGTTATTTTGTTATTTTAGATTATCATCTGCAATATTCATGGAAAAGTAATTATTTATATGAAATATGAATTATTTATTATTATTTATTAACTGTTCTAATTTACGGATATTTCCCACGTCAATCAGAGGAAATTGAAGGTATATAATGTTTCTTATTATATTGTTTCTGTTGTCGCATATTTTAATACGAATCCTTTATAAAGTATCAGAGGAAATCAAAGGTATATAATTTGTTTCTTATTCTTTGTTTCTGTTGTCGCATATTTTAATACGAATCCTTTATAAAGTATCAGAGGAAATCAAAAGTATATAATTGTTTCTTATTCTATTGTTTTTGTTGTCGCATATTTTAATACATCTGCTTACTAATTTTTAAACTTTTCTAATATACGGATAATTACCCACGTCAATCAGAGAAAATCAAAGGTATATAATTGTTTCTTATTCTATTGTTTCTGTTGTCGCATATTTTGATACGAATCCTTTATAAAGTACATCTGCTTACTTATTTTATTATGATTTCTAGATTTTCTCTTAGAAATTGATGGTACTATAAATATTGATGCAAAATTCTTCATTATTCATATTGTATGAATTTACTAAATTATTATTGTTAACTTTTCTAGTTCTTCTAAAAAAAGCAAGAGTTGGTACGATAATTTCGTTATTATATAAGTTTAATATTTCAATAATCTATTATTTGTAGTGTGTATTACTTAATCATTATCATTATTATTTATAGATCGCATCGAAGATTTACAGAAAATATTTGATGGTACAATAAGTTTATTATTTCAAAAATCTATTATTTGTAGTGTGTATTACTTAATCATTATTTATAGAGCGCATCGACGATTTACAGAATATAATTGATGGTACAATAAGTATATTATACTAAATAAATATGCACGGAAATTTTTATTAGTATTTAAATAAACGTAATTAATTTTATTGTCGTTTTCTAGGTTACCTCAAAGGGATAGATACAAAAATTGACGGTAAAAAACGATTTATTATATAAATTTAATTGTATAAGTTATGTCGTTACATGGAGCATATATTTACATGCTATTTCTATTTAATATTATCTCAAAATATTGAAAAATTCATCAAACGGTAAATATGATAAATGTGCTTTTATAATTGCTGGACATTGCCCGTTATAATTTATTAAATATTTTTGTGAAACTTACTCAACTTTACTGGCGGAAGATAAAGGTAAAAAATCTTTTCATATTTATTATTGCCTATTGAAATGCATACAGTAACTACTTATGTTTTATGTTTTATTATATATTAAAGAAGGTTTGTTATTAATTTTCACTACTCGTTATAATGTTACTTTGTTAATGTATTTATTTTTAGTAGGAGAAAGTAAAGGTAAGGTATTAGAGTGACCATAATCATATTACATTATTTTAATTTTTGTTTAATCTCCATTTACATTATTTAGACCCTCTCGAAAATCCAAAGAAAAAAATTGATGGTCGATAAATTTATTTTATAAACCATTACTCATTTGAATTATTTAAATTATGTTTATTGCAAATTGTGTGCATTATTTAACCTTTATTATTGTGATTTTAGATCATCTCCAAGGGCTAAAAAAAATATTTGGAGGTTTTATGAATTTTCATTGCTAAACCATTATTATATAAATTTATTTGTCACCAAATACAGTATTATTATAATATTTACATGTATTTGCAGTACTAATAATTGTTATTGTCATCTCTAGAATGTCTCCAAGATCCAAAGAATGATGTCAATGGTAAGATAAGCTTATCACACCGTACCTTTGTTAGGTTTATTCATGACATGCACTGTAATAACTTCGCCATTATTACCTATTTTTTATAGGTCGTCTAAAGGTTCCAAATAATGAAATGGATAGTAAGTTAAAATGCCAATAAGAACTTTATCGTTATGATATTGTATTTACTTAATAGTTATTATTGAAATTTATAGATATTCTTAAAGATATTCTTGAAGATATAACGAAAGAAACTAATGGTTAAAATAAATTTGTTATATAATTTATTGCATACACAATATTATATTATGTATTTAACTTATTATAATATTGCAATCTCTAGATTATTATAGTATATTGGAGAAAGATTCAACAGAAATTGATAATGGTATGAGACCATTCTTGTTTACTATTACTCGTTACAGAAATTTGACTTCTTATGTATTTTGTCTTTTATTTTTACTACTTATTTTTGTTTTCTGACATTATAATTTATATTTATTATGCGCTATCTCATGAATATTTTAACATCCATCTTTTATTTTATTTAGAACGTATTAAGCGAGAATTTGATGGTACGACAAATTAACCAATAAATTCTTTAGGAATTACATATTGATTTGAATACTTATTGCAGATAGTAATTATTGTCATTAATATTTATTAGGTGTCTTCAAAAGGCTAAAAAAAGAAATCAATGATGGTACAATTTATTTTTTAATACAAATTTCTTTATTATATAATATTTCCATATCGAAATTTTATAAAATATAGCATGCACTTAATCGTTGTTCGTATTTCTAGGAATTTACGCTAAAAGATTGGCGCAAAATTTATCGTGTTCAAAATATTTTAAAAATATAAATGATGGTATGATAAATTTATCAATACTATATATCCTTATAATTTAATTAAAATAAAAAATTTATCTAATGTATATGTGTTTACTTAATATTTATATTTGTTATTACTGAATAATAACTGAATTTACTATCAGAATTTAAAGGTGTGTGACTATTTCTTTGTTTTATTATAGCTCGTTGTAAACATGATTACTTAGTCATCATTGTCTTTTATTAGGTACAAATGATATTGGCGATTTATTTACAAGGTCATGTATTCATTTGCTTTATGTATTTCTTTTATTTATTTAGAATATTCTGAGAATTCAAAGGAAAAAATTGATTGGGGTACAGAAGTTGATGATATAAACCTTTGTTATATCAATTACTTATGGAATAATTATATATATTACGTTATCATTTTTGTCTTTGTGCCTATAGGTAACCTCAAAAGGATAAAAGATAAAATTAATGGTACGGTAAATCAAATACAAAATTCTATAATGTATTCGTATACTGTAAAACACTATTATATGAATATACTGTATTTTTATTAATAATTTCTGTCGTCATATCTAGGTATTCTCGACGTGCTAAAGGGTGATATAAATTTATTAATACGATATTTGTTTATTTCAAGCATATATTGAGTATTTACTTAGCATTCGTACAACCTTTTATAGATTATGAAGAAATCTTGAATCAAAATTCAGATCTCGAATATCTAGAAGAGATAAAGAAGATGATAAATAATGGTGCGATGATTTATTAATGTGAAGCCTTTATTGGATAAACTTATTTATATAAACACTAATAATATATTGTGTTTTTAATTAATTCTTCTTATTATTAGATTTTCTTAAAAAGCTAACAGAAGAAAATGGTGCGATAATACGATGGATCAATTTATTCATACAAACAGTTTTATTACATTTACGTAATATATATATTGATTGATATATTGTGTTTTTAATTAATTCTCCTTATTATTATTAGATTTTCCTGAAGATATAGAGGAAGAAAATGGTGCGATAATACGATGGATCAATTTATTCATAAAAAACAGTTTTATTAAATCTACGTAATATACAGTATATTGATTAATATATTGTGTTTTTAATTAATTCTCCTTATTATTCTTAGATTTTCTTGAAAAGCTAGAGGGAGAAAATGGTGCGATCCTGGAGCAAAATGGTATGACAAATCAGTTTATATAAAACCTTTGATGCAGGGATGGTTATGTATTACCCGTTGCAAAATCTCAAATTCTCGTATATTACATGTTTTATTAGCGGAAGATAAAGGTATATGATCATCTCTCATTTTTTACTCAAAATACTGTATATCATGGATACTTATATATTTTATCTCTAATGGATAATAAAAAAGGTATTTGTCTATTTTTTATTTCCACGTTATATGATAAAACTTAGCTTATGTGTTTACCTTATTAGCGGAAAGTAAAGGTATATAAGACTGTATATTATTATGCATTATATGCAGTAATTTTTATTGCATTATTGCTTACTACGTATTATTACTTGTATTGTATATTATTTACTTGGTCATTTGTTTAAAGATAAAGGTATGAAATTATATTCATATGACCTTGAAGTATATGTGCATGTATTTATGCGTCGCAATTTATTTAGAACAACACAAATATAGAAGAAATGCAACGAAGTTAATAGACGGTATTATAAATCTGGTTTTATATAAAAATCTTTGTACAACGCCATATATTTATTTATGATCTTATTTTCTGTAGAAAAAATATCGGGTATAAAGCATTTCCGTCATGGTAACTAATGTTACGTACATATATTTACTCGATTATTTGTTTTCTTTGATCTAGAGCGTTTAAGAGACAAAGTTAATTGTGAGTATGACTATATACTTGTATTATCCTATTGCATGTATATTTACTGCATTTGTCTTTTTTTTTAGATTTTATAAAAAATCATGGTGAGTGAGATAAATTTATCGTATAAACTTATCACGCATAAACTCAAAAGTATCATTTTATTAAGGTACCGGTTATTATAGAGGTAAGTACAATTAATTCAACATTAACCTTATATTTATTTTGAAAAAATTTTATTATATTAATTCTTTTGTTACTATTATTTGGGATCATACTTATGTATCTTATTTAGAAAGCGACCGTATTCTTAAAAAAGCAATTGAGAAAGTAGATGGTATGACAATGTAAACTATTTTCTGCTAAACTTTTTAATACGTAAGTACCAACATAATTATGTATTTTATATAGAAAATTTTGAAATTTTACGAGATGGAATAGAATTATTGGATGATGGTAGGAATAAGAAATTATGATAAGTATCTTATGTATGTATTTACATGTGTTTTTATTTGATTTAGAATACTTCGAATATTTTGGGAATAAAATGAGTGATAAAAACGATAGTAACAGTAAGTATAGTGAATATTTTTATGAGAATTAATGTATCCAGAAGTCTTTATTGCAGACGTATTCCCTCACTAATTATGACATTTTATTAGTGGAATCCGTTAGTGATAGTAAGTATAGTGAATATTTTTATGAGAATTTATGTATCTATAAGTCTTTATTGCTTTATCCTGAAACAAATGATATTTAATTTATTGCAAACTGCTCAAATTTGTTACCATATATAGTTACTTTCAATGATATTAAAAAAGGATTACATTCATTGCGTAGTAAGCATGATAATATTGAATTCTTTAATCATAGTGTATACATTTATTTATATTACCTTTGTTTAGGCCATGTCAAAGATTTAAGAGATGTGTCTAATGGTGAGCATAATAAATTTCCTAGATATAAACTTTTATTATTCGCATATTTACTTAATTTATTTCAGACACCCGAGTTTGCAATAAGTTCGAGATGCTTCTTTTCTTGGCAACCATTATATATAAACGGGAAGATTACCTTATTGCAAATATTCACAAAAATATCAACATCCTAAAAAAAGCGTATCATTTGTGCAAATGCAAAAAAGGAAAAAATCATGATAACGATTGTTTAAAGCTAGGAATTATGAGCAAGGTCAAAGATTATCTAAAAAGTTTAAGAGAAATTGCCGATGAGTATAAAGAAAATGATGAAAAAAAGCGTAGAAATTCAAGTAAACCTGCAGAGGAAAACCCCCACGAGCATAAAGGTGAAAAGATATCCCATGAAGCTACAGATGAAGAGATATTCGATGAAACTACAGGTGAAAAGATATCCCATGAAACTACAGATGATGGGATATCCGATGAAACTACAGATGATGGGATATCCGATGAAACTACAGATGATGGGATATACGATGAAACTAAAGATGAAGAAAAACTTTTTAATGAGGTAAGAGATTAATAATGGGATACGATATCTTTTCAAAGCTGTTAACTTTTGGATATTCTTTTAATATACGTATAAAGAAACTCAAATGGAAGAACGAAATGCACAAGCTCTCCCTATATCTAACTTTTTCCGCTTTTTGGCCTTCCTTTATAAAAAATCTCTTGAGTTCAACTAAACCACTCACCGATAGAAGTCACGCTTTTGAAATGGAAACTTTGGGCGAAATAAGAGAACACATAAAGGAAATTGTAGAATATAATGAACTTCATATCAATAACGTTATTAAACAAGTCGATTCGGATTTTCGATTTACTTCTATCTCCGAGCTAAATACAGATGATGGTGGCTCATTTTGTGGAATGTTTTATAATAAAGAAAAAAATTTCATTGCAGTGGTTTTTAAGGGGACGACTCCGGATAATTATGGAGAGTGGCTATCCAATCTTACATTTCAGTCCGTAGATGCTCGAAGTTTCCTCTTCGGACAAGTTCACAGAGGATTCTATAATTATCTTTTTCCAATGGACGGAAAGGAACATGTTCGAACCTCGCGAAATTTTCCTTACAAAAGAATCGTTGATACGATTAAAGCCAAAGCCGAAGAAATTAAGAGGTATTGGGGTAAAAAAGGCTTGGACAGAAAAGTAAATTTGTGGATAACCGGTCATTCGCTCGGAGGGGGGCTAGCAGTTCTATTTTATGCACGTTTATTAAAAATAGAATTGGGTATTTTAAAAGATGTTTGTGAACTTCGAGATACAGTAACTTTTGCGAGCCCTGCGGTCGGCGATAGTCATTTCGCTGTCGAACTTAATTTTTATATAAACAAGCTCAACGAAAATCATCCACTGTGGCGTTTCGTCTTAAAGGAAGATATTGTTCCAAAATTGCCATATCGAGCTTTTAGTAAAGGAATGAGAAAATATGGTTATCATAGTAATGTGTTGATGAACTATTTTCAAGTCGGAGAGAAAGTTGTATTTCATCACCATAAAAACAAGTCTATATTGTCTGGAAAATTCGGAAAAGAAGAAAATCCCAAAAAGCCAGAGTCAAATCGTGAGTTATTTAGATATAAAGATGATCCGACAGATCTGGAAAGTTGCTTAGAAAAACATTACGACCAGAAGAATACTCTCAAACGTTCCCTTATAAAAACCTTTAAAAAATTTAATTTTCTCGCAATACCGGATATCATCGAACAACACGGAACAGATAGTTACATTAATGCCTTGAGCGCTTACCGAATGTACCATTTAAAGAGAAAAGAAGCCGAATGTCAGAAAAAAGAGGATTCGAAAATTTCTTAATATATGTTTATCGATGATTATATTTTTGGCATAAATATTATTACACTTTCAGGGATGTTAAATTTATTATTTTGAGATCAAAAATTTATTTATTATATTATCTGTATCAATAAATTATATATTGGATTATTAAACGGATCACAAACACGCTGAAACGCAAATAATGTAATTTGAAAACTATAAAATCTGTAAGAAAGAACTCCAATCCAAAATATTTTGCAATTTTATTTTATTTCATTTTGTTTTGCATATTTATCGATAGCAATAGGTTCCCTCGAATGCCACGTGTCTTGTACTAACCTTTTACAGATTTAGTATAAATGAAAAAAGAGCAAATACAGTATAAGCTTCATCGAGGACAATTTTCATTAGTTTCTCGAGTAGCAATTGCGAAAATTCATTGGTTCAGAAAGCATCGTAACTACAGCACATAAAATTATTCTGTATTTAAAAGCTCTAAGATTTTATTGTCAGAAGCATATGCTAAAAATTTTTTCTTTGTAATTCTTGAAGAATTTAGTTTTAGAAACAACTACATGCCTTTATCAATAAACGTTATCTTTGTTAATTAAAAAAATAATAATTTGCTTTCATGGTATTATGCTTTTTAAAAAACTGAAAATAATTTTAAAATAATGACTGAGTTATAAATATTATTTCGTCATTTCTGTGTTTGGTTTCATTTGATTATAAAATTTGACCAATGGTCGAGCATTAGTGAAGATCATTGAGAAATGTACTGTGAGGGTCGGTCGAAGTCCTCTCTATTAATTAAGTTTTTAAGGCTGAGGTGCAATAATTTGGTCCGAGTATCCTTCTCTTTCTCTAAAAAATAAACTCAAATTCATCCGTTAGCATGCACATTCATCTACTCAAACTATACCTAAGTTCCTGTTGTAGCA